TTCAGTTTCAGAGGTTAGAATTGCAGGATTCTAAACTTACAGAAAGAATTTTAAACAATTAAAAGCAAAGTGTTCCTTGAATAAACGCAAAGCGCCCGCTAATTTTTATACCAGAGATTTTAGTCTATGATCAACATTCTGGCCATAGTACACTTGTTCAATTAGATGCAGTTTTGCACATTTTTTTAAAAATAATTTTATTGTATTTTATTAATCTTTTTTAACCAGGTGAGATCACAGATCTGTTTTGCAAGGGAGGCCTGGGCCAGAAACATGTTTTTTGAAATCTCACAAGCCATTTTAGCACTCAGATATGAGATAGAGATGACGCTCAGTTATTACTACATCAAGCTTTAGCTCAGTTGTACAATTAAGTAAGTTAAGCTTATTTATGTGTTTGGTAATTGGAATTAGCTGTGATCCATTGAACTGGGTGAAATACAAAAGTCAATTTTTTGTAGATTTTTTTTACCAGCTTCAATAAAATCCATCTATCAGATTGTAATAGATAGAAAAAGGATTCATGGACATGGGTAAAATACTTCAAACTTCTTAAAGACATTTTTAAAGGATTTTTTGACAGGCAGTGGAAGAAAGAAATGCTCCCAACCTCTCCCTCTGAAATATAGGTAGACGTGTCAGAGAGATGAATAAGTGAACATACAGATAGGTTACAGGTATAACATGGTGAAAGAAAGATGGAATAATAGTATCAGGATTAAAAAAAAAACATGCAACGCTCATTCTCACAGTCATTTAACCTATTGTGTTGAAGCCGAAACGCTCAGACCGCGGTGATTTTTAAAACAGATGTGAGGTTAGAGGTGAATGATGCTCCGGCTGTCAATCACCTGCGAGGATGTGTTCATTACCTTCCCTAACAGAGTGCAGTGTACGCACTGTCAGGGTGCATAATGTGCCAGGGTTCAGCCAGCGCGCACACACACTCGTTAGACAATTATTTCCAACACTGCCAGTCCCTCCATCATCGCTTGACAATGATATGCTGGAACCATGTCATTATGGTGAAAGGTGTAGAACACATTCCTTCTCTCCCTGTGGGTAAGAGTGAGTGAAGAGGCAGATGGGCTCATATCAAAGTGAAGATAAGTGCATCTAACTCGAACACTGCCCTGCCTCCTGCATGACTAACACATGCCACTGATTCTATACATGAACAGCAGCTAGACTCTATATATTCATTCACACGAAGACATTCTACACAATGTGTCACTGCATGGAGGAGTATTACATACGTGGACTGAGAAGTTTTGAACTTTAATTGCTGTTAAATGTCAAGATTTCACTCAAAGGTTATATATGTTATTTATCTCTGTGGAAAAATTAAAAAAAAAAAAACAGAAAAGATGACTGGTTTAAGGACATTTTGTGGTTCATAAATTTTGGAATTGCAATAATTTTACACTTTGTTTTACATCGGTTGCATTACTCTTTATTTTCTTTCTCTGTGGTTTGAGTCGATCTCAGTCAAACAGCTGCTCATCTTTGGGTCTGCCCATCTGAACGGAGCTCATCCAGAAACATTCATCGCAAAAATAAAACAGCAGACTTCAAAACAAATACATCTTTACCCAGTAGTGATGTGCGGATTGATACAAAAATTGATTGATACAAAAATATCGATACTATCGATACCAGAACTTTATGCTCTAAAATTGATTTTAAAATTCAAATAGTGATGCTTTGTATATCGTTAACAGTAACACAAATCTTGTCTAAATTGTATGAAGTTAGAAGGAACTACTTTTTGTTCCGCCTGGATAATGTGACAGCACATGCTCTTTCAGCTACCATAGATGTTACATGTTGAGTATTTTTGTGTTTTCATAGAAGGTAATTTAAGATGCAAGTTTTCATTTTTACAGTAGCTCTTGACAATCAAGCAATAGTTTATTTTAATTATTTTTACTTTCATTTTTTTATTGTTGTTTAAACCACATTTTCCACATATTTTGTATGATTGTGTCTGGTTGTGTGTGTGGTTATTTTTTATTTATTATTATTTATTTTTATTTGTTTGTTTTTTATTTATTTTATTTATTTATTTGGGCGGCTGCAGAGTGGTTAGGGGAGTCGATCTGGAACCGGAAGGTCGCCGGTTTAATTCCAGTCCAGTCGACTCAGTCGTTGTGTCCTTGGGCAAGACACCTTACCCGCCTTGCCTACTGATGGTGGTCAGAGGGTCTGGTGGCGCCTGTGTGTGGCAGCCTCACCTCTGTCAGTGCGCCCCAGGGCAGCTGTGGCTACAATGTAGTTTGCCATCATCAGTGTGTGAATGTGTGTGTGCATGGGTGAATGTCTGCAGTGTAAAGCACTTTGAGTGTCCTGGATGGATAGAAAGGTGCTATATAAGTACAGTCCATTTATCTTTTTTTGTATTAGCTTGGCTATGTTGTAAACGAGGATGCTTCATCAAATGAATGCACAAATTACTCCGATGTCTTGTGTTCTATATGATGATGATTTGAAATACAATGCTTTTTTTAGATTTACCAACACATTAGGTGTCTTTTTTAATTGTAGTTTAGATCAAAACTGCAGTGCTGCAACAAAATATTTAAGTTCTTGATGGTGTGTGTGGTTTTCGTCCTGGTCGTGGAACACTGGACCAGCTCTACACCCTCAGCAGGGTCCTGGAGGGTGCATGGGAGTTCACCCAACCTGTCTACATGTGTTTTGTGGACTTGGAGAAGGCGTTCGACCGTGTCCCAAGGGGGGCCTTGTGGGGGGTTCTCCGGGAGTATGGGGTACCGGGCCACTTGATACGGGCTGTCAGGTCCTTGTACGACCGGTGTCAGAGTCTGGTTGCCGGCAGTAAGTCGGGCTTTTCGGTGAGAGTTGGAC